TTTTATTACAATGCACAAAATTAGGAAACAATTTCAACATGCAATTATAGAATATTTAACGAAATCATATGGGTCACTATAATGCGAAGAATGAACATAGGAATATTTTTGGATGCCTTCTATTACTATTTATTTTGTTCATTTCATTTTGCCACCCACGCATCGCAATAATGCAAAGGACATAGAAATATTTCGGAAAGTCTTTATAACGATATAGAAAATTATGAAACGATCTCACATGTCATTATAAAATATTTTACAAGATCACAAAAAATACAATAATACAAAGAACATAGAAAATATTTCTCCAAGAATTTTATTAGAATATAGAAAATTTTGAAACAATTTCAACGTGTCATTATAAAATATTATTTTACAAAATCATAGGCCCCAATAAAGCAAAGAACATTGGGAATACTTTTGCAAGACTTACGTTACTGTGTAATCTTATATTGCTCATTTCTTTTTGCCAGCCACTCATCACAAAAATGCAAAGAACATGGAAAAGTTTTGGCCAGTCTTTATTACGATATAGAAAATTTTGAAATGATCCCACATGTCATTGTAAAATATTTTACGAAATCACAATAATCACAATAATACATAGTACATAGAAAATATTTTTACAAGAATTTTATTAGAATGTAGAAAATTTTGGAACAATTTCAACTTGTCATTATAAAATAATTTTCAAAATCATAAGAGTCACAATGATGCAAAAAACATAGGAATATTTTTAGAATACTTTTATTACAATGTAGAAAAATTTTATATTGTTCATCTCTTTTTGCCAGCCACTCATCACAATAATGCAAAGAACATGTAAATATTTTGACAAGACTTTTATTAGAATGTAGAAAATTTGGAAACAATTTCAACAACTCACTATAAAATACTTTACAGCATCACAAGAATCACATTAATGCAAAGAACATATGAATATTTTTGGAAGACTTCTATTACAATGTAGAAAATGTGAAACGATGCCAACATGTCATTATAAAATACTTCGAAACATCATAACAATCACAAGAGTGCAAAGAACGTAGATTTGCAAGACTTTTTTTATAATGCAAAAAAAATTGAAATGATTTTGACATGTCATTATATAATGCTTTACAATATCATAAGAACCAGAAGAATGCAAAGAACACCGAAATATTTTTTGCAAAACTTCTTTTATAATGTAGAAAATTTTCAAACAATGTAAATATGTCCATTATAAAATGCTTTACAAGATCACAAAAATTACAATACTGCAAAGGGTTGGACATAAGAACAACTGCAACAGCTCAATAAAATTAATTGTGAAAACAAGAATAGAATTCCATTCCAAATAACTGTCACATTTTGGTAAAATACTACAGAAGAAGGGCGACTTCAATGAGATCCACCACTTCCCGAAATCCCTTACGGGTACATTAATCATCACAAATCATTACTAGATTTTGTGACCCTCACAAATTCACCTCATTACAAAAGCCCAACCTTATTCTGTGTTGAGCGAGATGGGTGCAGGTACACCTTTGCACCTAGTGATTATTGATACTACATGTTATCTCTGTGCCGGCATTACTGGCATGGTGGGGGAAAGATATTGCCACTATACTCTGCCTTGGCATTGAGACAAGTGGAAAGCGTGCCTCCAAAACCGATATTTTTAAGGTTGATGTTGTGGAGGCTGAGCTTCTGGCACGGTGTCCCTTTGCTGCATCTGAGTATCACTGCCTCTGGCCTCTTTGTCGTTCCTCGAATGTTCTTGAAGTGGATATCACTGAGCTTTACGCGAGATGCTCTCTGGACAAATGCATGCAGGAAAGAGTTGGGTGATAAACATGTTTCACCATGAATTTAAGTTCGAGTTATGATGTCAAAAAATGAATTAGGATCAAGATGGAATTGAGATAGTTTAATTACTCACCGAATTGTCACACTTGGCAAAGGGGCAGTATGTTTGGTCTATGACGATGGGATAGTCGACATTCTTCATCACAAGGTTGTCAAAGGTCATGTTTTGAACCTTAGTAATGGCAGGTGAATTGGCCCATGTCTTGATCCGTACTCCATTCGTCGTCCCTTGAAAGGTGCTATCCTTTACGATAACATTCTTCACATCTTCTTCATCATTGTACCTCCCCAAGCTTCCAACACTGTCGTCATTGCCACCACCATCAATAAAAAAGAAATATACATAAAAAAAAGAAAGGAATGATAAGCTCGATATGTAAAAATGGCTGACCTGATACCATGGCCAGGCCCGCAAGTGATGCCGGAGATTGTCACTAGACTGTTGCCCTGACCGATCGAGATGCAATCATCACCTGTCGCAACCTTCGAGCCCGATATGGTCACACCCGTGCTGCCCTCCAGGTGAATGCCATCAGTGTTGGGGCTGGTGCCCGGGGCACTGATGGTGATGCCACTGCCCTTGAAGTTATGGCATCCTAGCAGTGCCATGTGGAAAAACTTGCTATTGAGTGATGTTATACCTCTCACCACCGTATCTTTTGTGTTCACGAACTTCACGGACTGCACACATTATAAGCAGAAGGCATTGTTAGGTCAAACATCTGCTGGTATTGCAAGAGAAAAAGAGAACAAAAAGGAAAAAGTTCAATGCATGGAGAGACATGTGGTGTTGGTGTGTGCCCACACAACCCTAAAGCATTGGCCACAAAACAATCCATATACTAAGCATTTTGCTTGCTCACAGAATAATAAGTTTCCATAAGATTACCGTCGGCAGGACTTTGCAGTTCTTATCTTTGGGGCACTTGTTGAAGGGCCAAGACACAGCTCCTTGACCATCGAAGGTCCCTCCGCCGGTCACAGTCAGTCCATCGACATGTCGAAACTCCACCCACCCCTTACCGTTTCCATATTTGCGCAAGTCCGTAGTCGCCCTCAGCGTGCCCTGTGTTTACACGTCCCGAAATGTCCTCGACAATCAGCTTGAATAACTCAATAGCATACAGCAATTTGTGTTCTTTGTAAAAAAAAATAAAAGTTATCATGCATTGATCATCACCAGTAGCTGATCTTATGGTTGGAATACCATTTAGAACAAACCAGAGTGATCCCAAGTCTGGTATGAAACTAGTGATGATTCTAAAAGCTCGAATTTTTGAAGCACTCAGGCTTCTAAATCTCAGTTTCTTTCTTTCGAATGACCTTCGGGTTTAGTAAGAACTTGCCTGCATTTGGAACTTCAAACTCTGCACATCTCGGCAGGGGCCATTGAATTCAATAGGGTTGAGGAAGTAGGTACCGCTAGGGATCAAAATCTTGACCTGCCCAGATGATTTGCAAGCGGCGTCCCAAGCTGCCAGGAACGCCTGCATCAGGCATCGCAGAGCATGATGAGCCGGTGAGTGAAATGGAGGCATGCAAGTACAGAATCATGTGCATCTTTAGCTCATAGCTCATGAGAAAACATTCCAATGTTAATCCTTTCGGCCTTGCACCATAAAACCAAACTCCCTTTCTAGTCATTAATTCGTTGCAAATCAATAGTAAAACCAGAGATAAATCCTATAAAGATGTAATCTTTTTGTTACCGCAAGAGACAAAACCACAAACAGATGGGGGGCAGAGGAGGTGGGACCTTGGTGTCGTCGCTCCGGCCGTTGCCCCTGGCACCATACTCCTTCACATTGAAGGTACCGGAGCTCTTGGGCTTTCCTCCGCTCACGTTGGTCCTCGCTCCGTCCACCGTCGCCATCCCATGGCAAATGATGCAAAGGTAAAGCAAGACTAGCCTCATATCTTTCCGCGTTCGATCTCAGATCACTCTGCTTCTTGATTGGTTCCATCGCCGTCGGGAAGTGGGATTTATAGCTGTTCTCCATCCTCGAGCGTGTGGAGTTGCTTAACTACCGTTAACTACCTCCCCACTCCGTCCCAAGTTCTCAACCGTGACCGCCTCCCACGCCCAACCTCTGTTGACGTAGCTTCGCCTTCTCCCATATATAGCACCCCTGCCCGTTGACCTGCACAACGTCAGACCTCTCCTCCGTTGACCCTTGCCTCGCATTCGAAGAGGTCGTCAACGCTTCGTAGCTGGGGAAGCATAGCGCGTTCGATCATCGTCCATCCCATCACACGATTTTTGAAGATCATGATCGTTCTGAATCTCTTTACACAGTGGTGAAAGTTGATGAGAAGAATTTACAATAATCGGAATTTAAAGCATCACCAGAATTACGAAAATTACCCAAATTTCTATGCATGATATGATTAGACCTCTTAGTATATAATCAACCAAAGAAGCTTCAAGATTGAAATGCTAATCAAATTAAGAATTTTTTTATTTTTTTATTTTTTCTAATAATGAACAAGCACATTAAAGTTAAGACACAACAAATAAAGATTAAGATAGCACTAATAGACCATCTAATTTAAGTCGGTAAAGTTCCGTTATAATATATACTTTGCCCATGATTAATTTAGTGGGTAAATAATTATTCTTTTTATACAAATCAAATGATGGATATTCATTCAAATAAATATTATATATATATATATATATATCGTACGATATTCATTCAGATACATAGATTATCGATATTCTAGTGATATTTGACGACCTTCCTAAGTGGATTTAGAACAGTAACAAAATTAATATTTTAGATGTAAAATTTGATGGATATAGTCTTTAAACCTTCACTTGTTTCTAAGTATATCTATTACATAATTATCAGACTATTTTAAGTGGTTATTAATCATATTAATTTTTTTATCTAAATTAGTGCCTGTTTGGGTCAAAATAGTCAATCAATTTGCATAGAGACAAATAGCCACTCCATGTTAGAAAGTTTCTCTCCATGTTAAATGGGAAAGACATGAATTAATTGGTTTAAGAATAATATGGGATATCTTTTACTACGAGTTGATTGGTTGTTATTTTGAGGTGTTGGGAGTTATCTGCATGAATATATATTGAAATTGACTCTAAATTTATGGCATACTCTTTCTCGAATAATTTTAATTTTGATTCGAAATATACAAAATTATTAATATATATATATATATATATATATATATATATATATATAATTGTTGATACTAATTGATTGTCCTCTTTTACTCGTATTATTATTATTATTATTTTTAGAAGGAAGGCTAATCTTAGCAATTTAATTTTCTTTTTCGTTTGCTGTGATGAGAACGGCAGCGTGTATTTTTGTTCTAATTAGTAAAGTTTATTATTATTATTTTTGATTCGGAGAAAAGAAAAAGGCTCACAATTTATAACGAAAACAATTAATATAATAAGAAAATGTGGTTGGAATTCCAATCCGACCCGTCTCTTATCCGCACACTATAAATTAGTGGAAGCTTTAACGATGCGTCAGGAGTCCGGACGGTGAAGCCGCAGCACGTGCAAATTCCAACTGCCTTTAAGAGTCGAGCGACCGCGCGGGGGAGACCCGAAGAACCCTAATTCTTCCCCGCCTCCATCTCTCCTCGCGCTTCGAAGTCGCGATAGCCTCTTCCTCTGCTCCGCGCCCCGACGAGTTCGATCAGCTGAGGAAGCAATTTCTGTTGATCTGGGCGGCCGTCACCACGCATTCGCCGTAAACCATCTCTTCTTCGTTTGAAGTTTATGTTTCGATTTGATTAGTAATCGTTCTTTTTCTTTACGTGAATTTAGTTCGTAGTTTAGATTTTTTCGTGAATTTAGAATAGAATTCATGATCGCGAGGTTTTGTGGCTTCTTGGCTCAGTTCTTGCTGCCGGAGGAAAGGGCTTCGCGGAACCCGGTTGTGCGACTATGGGGGTGGAGTTGGCGAGCAACGACCTGCTAATTTACGAGGCTGAGGACGGATACCTCAGCGATTCGGAGGCTTTTGCTTCCGTTATACATGTTCTTGATGGCGTTCGGATGGTAAGCAACTCAAATAATCTTCATGGCCTGCAGCTCAAATAATCTTCATCGCATTTCTATCCGATGCTTTTCTCACGAGAAACTTGTGAGGTCCTCTAAACGAACCCATTATCTGTTTCTTCAAATGGCCACAATAAGAAAGGCGATGAATGTTGATCCCCTGTTCTTGTTTTAATTCAAAGAGCTTCTACACGATGAAGATTTAACACTCCAAACACTGTACCTCTTAGCAAATCCACTCTAAGATGCTTCTTTTTTTTTTATTCCTTGTGTTAGACGTTTATTCAAGACGATGCCACTTTGGTGATGTTCAATATAATGAGCACATGTTAGTAGTTTTGTGGATTCCATGGGAGAAGTTCTATTTGTACCGTGCTATCTGTACCGTGTCCGCTATTATGCTTTCTCGTGGTGCCTAGACCGTGATTAACATGGATATCTTCCTCCAGGCTCCAGTTTTGGTTGCTCAGAGTGATAGAGACCAGTATGACTACCTACTTAGCATTGTTGATCCAGGCAAGAGAATGGGCCCTGACGAGGAAGCTTTACTGGCGGTTGGTGATTTTACATATATAAACTCAGAGATCCATCCCAAAAGTTTGAGATATTTGACATCCTTTTTTCCTTTTGATTCTCCAGACAGTGCTGAAGGCGCTATCAGGAGCTGTCTCCAAGATAGACATTATGTATCACGGTTCTCTGTTGAGCAATGTATGTCCTAGGAGAATTCAGTTATGGCTTTCTGTCTGCGTGTGCATTAGCTTGTAACTCAATTATTTGTGATATGTTTGTCAGATTTTTGGTTTGTGCCTATGGAACTATGGGGTGGACGCCAGGAATGCTTTGTTGGAATTAATTACTACTTTGGTATGAGTCTTCATAGGGTGAAGAATATTTTACTATAAGCTCTATCGGACATGGTTTACTTATGTGATTCTTTTCCTCTATTGTTGCCAGGCTGCTGTACCTGACAAGTTTCTTGATGCCTGTTTACATATGCTTGTGGTTAACTTTCTACCACCCCGAAGACTAAGGGAGTCCATTAGTCAATCACGATGGCTCACAAGAAAGAAAGAAATTCATAATGAGCTTCACATGGCATTGCATTATATTACTGTTATAATACCTCTTGCTCCAATGAAGCTGAGGAATGTAATTGACAAAAGAATGCCAAGATACACAGATCCCAAAGATGTAAGTTTTTAGACCTTTGATTGTTCAATCCTCAACTTTACCTTCTAAAACTAGACAAAGAATGATGCTCAGTAACTCGACAAGTTTATTGTGATCTGCAGATTGACATATCAATATAACCATGTTTTTTTCTGCATTCTTTGGACTGTTGTTAAAAACCACTTTTGCATATGGTGCCTATAGGCTATCTTATGTTATATGTTGTCAAGTTTTGTTTTCTATCCCCAGTTTAATCCAGCGATCCAGACTTTATCTTGTAGATGCAAAATTCATTATATATGAGTATTTGTTAACGTTCTTTTGCTGCTTATGGATAAGAATTGGATGGATATCTATAGTCTTGTCATCGACATTCCATCCAGCAGAAGTCTAGAATCATGCTGAGCTAGTTGTGAATACACTTGTGTTATGTTTACTTCCGAAAGCAAATTTTGATTATCATCTTGATCCTTCCATTGATTTGAGTACCGAAAGTATGAAAATATGTGTTGCTTCTTAGATTGAAATCCAACTCTATTTTCCCTTCTATTTATCATCTGCAAGCCAAAGAACAGCCAACCTTTACTTTTCCGTCACTAGCAACTGATTGTAGTAGCCATGGCAATGGTGATGATGGCAGTGGCAGTGATAATCCTTGTGTGGTGATGATGACTGACAGTGCCAGCACCAACAAGACCAATAGAGTGGGAGCGCCAGCAATGACAAGGGTGGTAATATGGAGAATGACGATGGAAACTTTGTCACGATAGTGATGGTGGCAATGCTGATGATGGGGCCTATGGCAGCAACGTCATCATTGACAACTGGAGCTGGGAGCAACAACTGGGTAATGTTGATAAAGGCAACCTATAGCAGTGTATGATGATGGTGGCATTAGTGTGATATGCTAGTGATGGTGTCAGCTGTGTTGAGTACAATAATATGAATGATCAATGATGGCTGTTGTTGCAGCAGAAATTCAAACCTGAACATCTGATTAGTTTTGGCCAAAAGGAATGGAGAACATGAATTCAAGTTGATTAGGGATCAACTTTTCAGAAAAATCTATTTTGAGTAAGAAGATTGGAACATTAGTTTTTAAGGAAACAATTTTCGTATTTGGATTACTAGAGGATTGGCATTGGTGTCAAGTTGAGCTTGTTAATTTGCAATTTAGGTGATGAAAGATTGAGTCGAGGAAACAACCTCCGCTTGGAGCATGTTGTGTGCCTTGACGCTTTCCTAACTTTACATTGATGGGAATCTTGTGCACTTGGCCATCCTTTATCATTGCACTTACCAAGTTTCTCATCATCTTTTGATCTTTATGGAAAGTTCTTTGAAATCTACAGATTCCTTGGTCATCGACTTTTGGCACATCTGTTTTTCCTTTTCAATTCACTTTACTCTCTATTGCGCCTTTGCAAGTTCTGAAATTGTCTCATACTTCAGCATACAATTATCAGTTGATATTTCTAGTTGCAGTTGGAAGCTTGATAACTAGGGGATCAGGAAATCCAAGTATCTATAAGTATGCTTATCTATCTACTTTGAGGAAGACACCTCACTGTATCTATAGAGGATGGATCTATCATGTTATGGTTGAAAATACAAGGGAGTTCATTTTATGTATGTAATATAAGTTATCAATATTTTAGCTTTAAAAAGCATCAACTTTCTGTTACATTTTTTCCATGATAAGCCTAGACACATGATTTTGCACAGAGGTTAGGTTTTATCATGCTCCTGTACTGCTGGTTTCTTTAAGCTGATGTGGAATTTGTTTCTACCTACAATAAATCTTGGATAAAGATTCATCAAGTCTCTAACATATGCAGGTGATTGTATTATTTGTGGAATGCATGCTTGGGCTGGAGAATGATGAAGTTGGAGAATTCCTTGGAAGTACATTGTTGGCGAAGGTGGTGGATTTGCTCGCAGATTTGGATGTGAGTTTTGGTCCTGTTGGTTGCTGCATGAGATTGTGATTTACAGTTAAATGAATGGCCTTTAATGCTCAGTCTTTTAGTGTTTCAGGTAAATATAACTTGGGAGGACATTCTTCAGGAAGAACATAACAAGGGCATATTTGAAATGGAACTTGAAGATTGGGATGATGATATGGATAATGTTGCTAAAGCTGGCACAAAGGTTAACAAGAAGAGTGGATTGTGGGATATAATGTTCCAGTTGAAATCTGTTAATACTTTCTACATACTTATAATGGGGAAATGTCTCTCAAATTTTCAGCTTCCTATGGAGAATGGGGTTCTAAAGGGCAATGCTTATGCTGATAAATTGGATGGTTTGATGGTGATAGTATGTGAACACCTTAAATTGCGCGCAGATAGTGGCCATTTATTAAATGTGAGTCCCTACAGGAAAATATATATTGTTTTTTGAAGATTTTCAAGGCCTAAAAATGTCTGTATGAACACAGAGTTGGTGAAATTTTCAATATGATGTTTACCATTTAAACATGCATGTTTGATATGTGATAAAAATTTTAAAGGGAAAGAAAACAACATTTTCCTTAAATATATTGGCAGCGGGTACTTGAATTTTCAACATCCATTTTTTTGGCAATAAAAAAGAAAGATCAAAAGAGTGACTGCAACTAAACATGTTTGATAGGAATTAGGAAATAGACACACGAAGAGTATTTGTAAATACTAGCATTGTCTAGAACCAATGTTAATATATGTTGGCTATTAGACTACTTAGATAATATAGTGACTGTATGATCCGTTCAGCATTTAAAGCATAACTGTTTGTTGGTGATTTCATGTTTTATTTCGTGCAATATCCTTTTTGTATTAATGACTGTGATTTTACTTGCAAATAATATTTTATTTTTTTCCCTTTAGTATACCGCCTTATGATACATAAAATAAGTTCATTTGAGAAATCCTAGATGACATTTATCCATAGAAATTGTATCATTTGCCAAAAGTAATGATATTTCTTAGTGATATTAAACAGATCACTTTATCATCTAGTTTAACATGAGTAGGCTTTATTGACCACCTAATAAAGAAAAATAACTGCTCAAATCAGAAGCTGCTGTTGTAAGTGAATTGACTTATCTGTTCTACATGTTATCAAATAGAGTAACTTCAGCTAATCTTTGATGAACTAAGTCAATTTACTGCCTTCAATCACTTCACAGAAAATATTTTGCAACCTTATTTTTTGGTCTTATTTTGGTATAGGTGTTTGAAACACTCTCAGAGATCTTTCGAATAGCCGTGCTAAAACTTCACAAGTCAAAATTTGCTCAGGTAGTTTTTTTTTCTTTTCTTTTATGCATATACAATATTGTTACTGGTCTATGTTTTGGTGTTCTATAAATGAGTTAAACTTCCCTTTTCTTTATGCAGTTCCTGATGTTCTATGCCTGCTCACTGGATCCTGACATTTGTGGACTGAAATTTGCTGTTCTGCTCACAGATATTTTTGTTTCAAAACATGAGGACCCAGATTCCAGGTAATTTGGGAATTTCAAACTGAACATGTTATTAAATGTTACATGTGATGCACTAGTTACTGCTGTTTATTTTTTCTAATTTGATAATAGTTGATATCATGGAACTCCTCGTTTGGGCTGGCATGGATTGGTAAGCATGAATCAGTACATGGACCCAGTCTGTTTTAATTTAAAATACAAAGTAAAAAGATTGAAATTAGGGCTTGCTATCTCGAGGCCTCTTCACTGTGGAACATCTTCGTGTCGTCTGCCACTTCTCACCTCTCCTCTTCTTGTTGTTGTCCGCCACTGCTACCTATCCTTTTCATCCTGTTTCCTCTTCCTCCACCACCGACCTTGTTGTATGCTTCCATCTCCTTTTCTCTCCTTTTTCCAATATCTCTTCTTTTTCCTTCTCTTCTTCTGCCGCCGCCTCTTCTTTCTCTTCCTCTTCTTCCTTTTCCTCCCTCTTCCTCTATTGCCTCATCTTCTTTCTTTTCCTCTCTTCCTCTTTCGTCTATCTCCTTGTCTCTTCCTTCCTACTTTTACTCCTTCCTCTTCCTCTCTCTTCCTCCACAGCCACCTTTTCCTTCCTCCTTTTCTTCTAGAGTCTTTGGTACATACCGGTGTCCCATGAGTCAGCACACCGAAACCAACCAATACATGTCAGTTCAGTCGGGGACCAGTACGAAATTACAATACTTAGTTGATATTTTTTACTAGACATTGAAAAGTGAAAAAAAAAGTACTTGAGTTTCTGGCTTCAACTGAATTTTATAATAACCATAAAGCAGCAAAGCATACATAATAGCACCTTTTTATGTAATAGCTTGGAGTTAGACATTTATTTCTGTTGGTCTGAAAAGCTGGTTTTTGTGGTTTTAGTGACCCAATGCTGGATATCACATATACCATTCTGTAGTTAGCATGTTCTTCTGGTTATGCTTATGTTGCAATAGCTAGGTTAATAATCTGTTGCTTTGCTAGAAACTAAAACGTTTTTTTTTTACCAGACCTTTTCAATGTTATTGTCTGATAAAGAGTGTTATCTGATTTCTTTGGGGGTTTCGTTAATGTAGAATGAAGGCTGTTTCATATCTTGCAAGTTATCTTGCTCGGGCAAAGTTTATTTCATCTTCCCTTGTTGCAAGCATACTTAAGAGGTTTGAGAATATCTCTTTGTTCATTTTGTCTATTTTTTCTCTATATTTCACTAACTTATCTGGTCAACATTTTATATCCTGGTTCAGATTAGTGGATTGGTGTTTTGAGTATTGCCAATACCAAGATAGTCAGGAAAAAAAGATCAATCCTCAAGCTCACCGAATCTTTTATTCTGGATGCCAGGTAATTTTTTTAATTTTCCTGATTTGAAGGTCTTCAGCATGCCATGTTCTTATGTTGCATAATGAGAATATGATATGAGATTATGTGCTGATCATCTTTTATTCGTACACCTAACCAGGATGTCATATATTGTATGTCTATTGAAGTAACTGCTTGATGTTGTTTTTTTCTCTTCTTGGAGCAAAAGTGTAGTTTTCCACATTGTATATTACAAGAATAAACAAAAAGATAAGAGCTAGTGGAAGCTAGAGAAGTAGGGAGGCGTGTTGGACCATTAGCATTTTTTTTCTGACTATATTCATTTTTGGACAACTAGTGTGCTTGTGGCTTCTGAAAAGTCTTGATTTGTGCTCAAGAGCAGTCTTTCAGATTCCTCCAATTCTTACATGACCCATTCAGAGATGGAGAGAATATCTTAACTCTGTTAAAGATGGAATCCCTCGATTGTAGTGTCTGTCTTGATATCTGTACCTCTTCCTTCACAGTATGCAAACCCAGTTGACAACTTTGTAGCCTATCTCAACTTAAATGCTATATTAATCAAATGAGATTTCTTTATGGGACTGCAGTTATGGAGAATTTTATCATCTTGAATTAGCATAAAATCCTTATCTAAGATCTGGCTGTTAGTTGAACTGCGAGGCTATGTTATTCAAAACATGTAGTCTCGACGATATAATTTTATCATGATGTATGATTACTGCCTTGTTACCTTTTAGTTCCCACTCATGTAAGCTTTTTTTCTTTCTCAATTTAATTTTTTATTTTTTTTTTCTTGTAGGCTGTGATGTACATTCTCTGCTTTCGCATGAGAGCAATCTTGGATGTCTCTCACCTCAGGCAGCTGCTTTTCCATATGCCTTTGGTTTCAATCTTGTGTCACCCCAATTTGGATCCTCTCAAGGTGTGTGGAAATTTATGTCTTTTTGCTGTTAGGAAGTTAATGGTTAAGCCCGACTGTGGTTGGAATATTTGGTAAAAGCTTTAATTCCTAAAATATTTAATTGTCTAAAGGGATATTATGGGCATCACTTAGTTTGGACACACACACACACACAGAGTATATAAAACAATAATTAGACTGCAATTTTGGGCATGTCTGCAATTTAGGTAATCTTCAGGACGTAGGAAAGAAGTCATTAATGTGGATGTTCATTCACATCCCAAGTTTCTGACAGCATGGAATCTGCTGAGAGGTGAACTCAATAAAGGTAACAAAAAAAGAAAAAGTGGGAGGACAAAAGAATCATGTAGAACAATACTCAGAAGTCAGAACTTTCGTTGTGCAACTATTGGTGAAGTCAGAGGAGGAGCTTCAGTGCTATGGAGTAGGGTGCAAGAATGGTTTGGTAAAACCTAATACAAGAGTCTTTCTCAGAGAACAATAGCATCCTCTTTCATAACCCCTCAAATATGATGCCTTGAGCTCAAGTGTCAAATGTGCATACGTGGGATGTGTATAAACGAAGGGTTAAAATCTTTGCTGGGCCCTCTAGAGCCCTTGATGAGCTAGAAATATGGGATCGATCCTCTTGGAGTTGTGAATCAATGCAAGACACCATGTATGTTTTATGTTATCGGAATTTTTTTTGGGGGTTCCATGTGATGGATTGATAAATCTCTACTTGTCTCCATGTTCACAACAATAAGAATCCCTGATATTTCAGAAATGAGACTCACATCGAAGCGGACTCATGGTTTATCTGCATTGTTAATACCTTTTTGCTTTGAATGATTATCTAGAGAAGTTAAATGACAAAAACTTTCATGGTTGCTAATTTCTGTGACGTTCATCTGTCAACTGGATATGTTCTGATATCTTTGACCACACGATGCAGGTCTGTTTGCCTTCGATTGTGCAAGAGTTCCTGAGACAGGCAAAGGCTGGTCGGTTATTCAAGATATCAATACCTTACCTTGATGACAACTCACTTGAGTCTGAATTCTCCAAGGCTTTTGGAGGGATCGAGCGGTTGGACATGTTCTTTCCATTTGATCCATATCTACTAAAAGATTCCGACAGGTTTGTCCACATTACTGACACCATAACTTGTTTGGGAGTTTTCTTAATCTCATTATCTTGTAGCAAAATATATTTTTAGAATCATTCACAAGCATGGTTTCATGCTTCTGTTTTGAATTTTAGATTCTATCAGCACAAGCATGTGAAATCCACAGCTTTTAAATTCTTCTTTAGTAAGATCCTTTTAAATTCTTTGGTGAGATTATAAATATTGTTTATTATATTTATATATATACACACATGCTATATTTGCTGCTTTCATTTTTGGACTCTAAGCCATCACTTTCTTTTTTCCCGAAGATTTATGCGGCCGAATTTTGAGTTCTGGTCCATGGTAAAGACAACTTACAGCAACTGCAACAGTGAAGGCGAGGATGAGTTTGACGACCTCGACACCCCAGATTTCCCCGAGAATAACACCCATGATGATCTGGACCTCGACAACAGGGACGAGCTCGAGTTTTCTATGAACAAGATGTCAATCACTCCAAATCCCAACTTCCAACATCCAGTAATCACCAACTTCGACCAGCCTTCACGGATGCCTGCAAGGATCAGACCATCTGTGAGTCCCCCTTGGTAGCCCCACCATTTAGTTCTCCATCAAAATATATACTCGGAAGGATTCCAAGAAAGGTCAAAATGAGATAAGGCAGCAGCTTAGCTAATATCGGATGGCTTCTTATACTTCTACATCGCTGTTGTAATCCTATTTTTGTTCTAATTTTTTGTCGATGCTTGGATGCTGTGAAATAGAACGACTGGTGCAATTTTTGATGCTCGAAATATTATTCTTTGTGAAATTAATAAAATGCTTTGTCATATTAATATGAATTCTTTCTTTCATGAGGAAGATCTCTTCCCTGGGAATCCGTAAGTGGGCCGTGATTGGCATTGCAGGCCCGGATACGCTTCTTTGCCGACCCGTCCCTGCTTCCTCGGGTCCTCAAAAGACGAGCCCAAACAAATCTCTTCAAAGAACAACGCAGTGCTGCTGATGAGACGTATAATAAATTCATGGGATGGAGCGCGTGATGCTTGAATCGATGAACGATGTCTGCCTCCACAACATAAACTAAGTAACGGGGGTGCTCTCCTGCGTCCCAGTCCCCACCTCCGAAGGGATCATTACAATCCCAAAAGAAGCAGATAAAGCAACTCCTCCTTGTCCCCCCTTTCTTGCCCTCATCGCCCGTTTGCAGTCTTTGCTCGCCTTATACACTCCCCCCTAAAGCGCATCCTGCTCCCATCCCAAAGCAGACGATGGATTCCGTTCGCTTCACCAGTCTCCTCCTCTTCGTCTTCTTCTTCCGCTATTCGACGGTGGTGGCTGCAGCAGGCATCAGCAGCACTAGAAACGGCGACCAGGAGTGGCGGTCCGCTACAGCCACCTACACCAGAGGAACAGCCACCGCCACCGGTGCGGGGCAAGCGGGTGCCTGTGGCTTCGGAGAGCTCAGCGAGTCGGGCTACGGGTTTAACAGCGTCGGGGTGAGCAGCGCGCTGTTCGAGAGAGGCAGCGCCTGCGGCGGTTGCTTCGAGCTGCGGTGCGTCGACCACATCCTTTGGTGCCTCAACGGGAGCCCCTCCTTGGTGGTCACCGCCACCGACTTCTGCGCCCCCAACTACGGCCTCCCCGGCGACTACGGCGGGTGGTGCAATTACCCGAGAGAGCACTTCGAGATGTCGGAGTCCGCCTTCCTACACATCGCAAAGACCACGGCCGACGTCATTCCCGTTCAATACCGAAGGTACTAACACCGCTCTCCTAATTGCTTCTGTCGCCATTGCTCCGATTCATCTTCATTTCACTGTCATGGACTGTAGTCGATGATGACAGACAAGATGCCCGGTCGATTCCGTGACCTTTGTGCAGGGTGGAGTGCCACAGAAAGGGAGGGATGAGGTTCACCATGACAGGGAAGTCCTACTTCTACCAGGTGCTCATCACGAACGTGGGCTCCGACGGCGAGGTCGCAGCGGTGAAGGTGAAAGGGTCGAGGACGGGGTGGATACCGATGGGAAGAAACTGGGGGCAGAACTGGCAGTGCGACGCCGACCTGCGCGGCCAGCCGCTGTCGTTCGAGGTGACCAGCGGCCGCGGGAGGGCGACCACCTCCTACAACGTGGCCCCCTGGAACTGGCAATTCGGGCAGACATTTGAAGGGAAGCAGTTCCTGCCATAGATGAGGCCGGCGCAGCTTCTCGGCATCGGCACAGATGAGGGGATCGTCGATGCATTCACTTGTTTATGTTACAGTGGGAGTTGGGCAGATGCATTCATTTGGACCAACAGACGTACGCAGATTTTCCTTTCGTTGGTAAGAATACCGCGCGCCGCCAGAGATGAAAATGCGTCCAAAACATGTAAATCGATGGAAGATCGTCCAACGGGTAACGTATTATTCTTACCGGAGGTGAGTGCACCCGAATGCCAGAGAGACTCGCGTGACTGTCTGGTGAGCGTACCGCAACTTATTATTTCCGGTGATAAAGTCACGCGCGTGACCAGTCTCAAAAGTAAAGTACAGCGCCCGGTGTGCGTACCGCTTGCCGTTGGGGGGGACGAAGAGTCCCAAAAAAATTAAAAACCATTGAAAATCGTCAAATTTCAGCTTTCTTACGCTCAATGGCGGTGAGCGGACTCTAATTTGACAGTGTAACCGTTACCGGAGCGTCGACCACAGCCTCTTGGAGGCGGAGAACCCGAAGGCGGTTACGCGTACAGTGTCAGTAGAGTCCGGTCACAGCCGTGAGCGTAAGAAACCTGAAATACGACGATTTTTAATCGTTTTTAATTTTTTTGGGACACTTCGTCCCCCCAACGGCAAGCGGTAAGCACACCGCGAAGTGTGTGTATATATATATATATAATATTTTTATAAATCGATGATCATCATACACATTACGATTCCAAGTCGACACGGTTTCACAATTGCGGCAACGCTGCCGGGAATCTCATTCCTTCAAAGTAGATTTAGTAGGTCAAGAACCGGACTTTTAGGTTGAAGATTAGACACAGATATGACTCCAGCACGCATTTTGTGACTCCGACAAAGCTCTGTCTGCACGAGTTAATGGTGAAAAATGTGGGAAGGGGCGTTGGTTGATGCCGAAGAGGGAATGCTGGCTGGCTGGCTGGCTACCGCGTTTTCGATGACCGCTACCACCGCAGGAATCGAACTCATCATAACGGTGATCGCGTGCACTCCTTAAATAGTTGGGTGAGCATACCGCGCGTCCTGTGAGAGAAAAAAAAGCGTCGAATGTATTTAAATAAGTCGAAAATCGTACGACGACCGTGTTCTTATTCTTACCTGCGGTGGCTGCTGTACTGCATCAAAAGATCCGGATACACCTTGGCTTGCTTACCGCTTGCCGTTGGATGGACGAAGAACTCCAAAAAAATAAAAAACGATGGAAAATCGTCAAATATCAGTTGTCTTATGCTAAACTGCGGTGACCGGACACTAGTCGCTGGTGCATTCGAGGTGGAAGACCCTGAAACGCCGCAGTAGGCTTAGGGACGGCGTCCTTTTCCTTCTTCGTTTGGCATGCTGCAAACTAAAAAGGGATGGATAGACTGTGAGTGCGTGCGTACGAATCATAATAAGGATGCTTCCGAAGCATCGACGATCATCACACACATTAACGTTCTAACCTGACGTGGTTTCACAGACATTGACGTCGACAAATTGTTACAACAATCAACGAGGGCGAAGAATACGACGCCAGAAAACAAACCACTCTTGCATGCATTTTGCGAACCCAAACTTTGCCTTCGCTGGCAGGAGTCAATGGTGGAATTGAGGGCCGCCGGTTCATGGCGGAGAAGAAATACTACCGTGTTTGCGATGACCGCTATAGCCTTTCCCGGTGCCACTAACTTTAGCTTCCCTTTGGCCTCTGCTTCCTTCTCTCCCGCCACCATTACCATTGCCTGTTCTCGCTTCCGGTGTCACCCCATCTTCCTCGGGGTGGTAATGTTACCATGATGTGAGGGCGAATGCTCATCAACAGGTGAAGCAGAAAAAGGATGGCAGCGAAAGACAAGTTGAGTATCACAAGTAATCATGCCTCAGGACGAGGGAATAAAATTTCATGGAGTGAATGCCAGAGTCAAACAGTCAGGTATGGAACAAGCATATGGTTCGACGGCTCCTAATGCCCTAAAGATGACATTTCTTTCTTCTATCATCGAATAATCCTACAAGGACTCCAGGCTGCATTATCATGGCATTGCCTCTTTACATTGCAAACACTCTCAGTTACTCTAAATCTCTTGATCTTCTCAAGATATCTAAAGCTACAAAACTGAAGATTAGTGTTACAATCACGAAAGATCGCGTGCGCCTGAAACTTCAAGGTGGTCGATAAGTTTCTGGCTGGCTAACTCGAGAGCACAAGCAGGGCCAAGCTACTACAACATGTTACTTTACATTTGCAAGTTAACCTAAAGGTTATCATCCATTTCGTCTGGTAGGTATAGCTTCTCCATTGCCGCCTGTCAAGTACAAATGGATGTTAGACATGGCAGTCGGAAAACATTGGTCGGCAGATACTCACAGCCATGGGACTCATCGCATTGCCAGCTTACCAAGAGTAACAGGAGACACCGATCCAAGGTATTTGAACTGGCAAGAACTAATATGAACCTGTGTTATGACTTAAATGACCAACGTAAAATTATGATGCACCTGAAAACCTATATCTGTATCTTTTTACATGAGAGACACATGTATCGGCTGATATCAAAATTAAAATGCATGGCCATAGCTACAGAAGAGCTGGGGTCAGATACACTACAGGATCCTAGAACTACAGACTCTGTTTTACCCAAATCTGACAATTAATAATGACAAAAAATAAAGATTGGAATAAGTACCTTGATGGTGGCAACGTCGGCTGCAGGAGGCTTCAAATCCAAGGCAAGACCAAAGTAGAACATTGCCTTCTCATGCATCTCAAGTCGCTTATAGATCTTGCCCATCAATGCATAAATACTGCTTTCATGAGGTGCACTCTCAGATAGTTGATCCAACTCCTTCAAAGCTTCATCGTACCTTTCGAGACTGACTAGTATGTTAGCTTTCTGGTACACAGGGAGTGGATTCTGCTTATCAGCAGATATAGCCTGTTCCATGATCTCCAGTGCTTCCTGATTTCTCTGGGTATCACTCGAAACAAAAAGCAGAATAAAATTAGAGAAAAATGAGATGCTGGCAGGAATAATAGATTTCTTATAAGTTGGACTGTGGTTCATAGAACATCTCAAGCTTGAGAAATCAGATCTAATGACAGAAGATAATCAACAACGAAGATAATATTGAAGGACATTTGTAACAGAAATTTGAATGCTCAATGTAGCAACAGAATTAAAACCTTTAGTGAGTGCAGTGCCATGCCAAGGTAGCACATAAGAACAGAAGAGCGAGGGTTTATATTATATGCTCTTCGGAGATGATGTTCGGCAAACTCAAACTTCTCCTGGCGGAGGTACACCACACCAAGTCCATACCAGGAATTGTAATGCCTGTCATCTGCTTGAAGTGCACTTTGGTAGCATTTTATTCCATTCTCAAAATCCTCCAAGGTGACATACCTGTTAATAACAAAAAATGGAAGCAATAAGAATTCCAAAGCATGCAAAAACAAAAATAGTGGCAATTGGCAACTTCAGCAAAGCCGAATGTCATGTATAATAAACAGGAAAACATGGGGAAACAAGGAGCATACTCATGGCCACAAAGTGTGTGAGCATATGCAAATCTTGGGTCTAGATGAACTGCACGCTGGAAATTTTTCAAAGCAGTTTCATGATCTTTCTG